AGAAATAATGGTTCAAGTTGGGTACCCTTTCCAATATTAAATAAGTAGCATAGCGCCAAATATCTATTTGAAAAAACCTTATTATATAATAATTAATAACAAACGGCTTCAAAATGATAATAATAAAACAAAGCAGTATTGTATATGTACATTACATTATAAGAACAATTTAATATTTTTAATTGAAAGTAATTTAATTTTTAATATTTAACACAAATATCAATTAAATATTTAATATATTATTAAAATATTAGCAACAAGAAAATTTGAAATTGTAGATAATATGTATATAAAAATTAAATCTATAAAACAGAAAATTGTTATATGTTTATATTCGAATAAAATATATAGTATATTTTGTAATTAAATAACCTTTAATAGTAATTAAAGTTTAAATTTTTCCTACACCTTAAAATGAGTCAACCAATCTGACGCCAACATATGCAACTGCAATGACCGCATCAGTCATTTTCTCAAAGTTATTCATAAAATTAACATTATGTTTTGTAAAACTATTGCATTTAAAGTAATTTTTAGATATTTTTTATAAAGTGATAATTTAAATTTTATCTACATTAAATTTGAATTTTAACGTCAGTTATATGACGGCAGTGACTATTTTACTTAATAGAATCTATTCCATTTAATAGAATAACAGCTGTATGGTCAGTCAAAAAATTCAATTAATTAAAAGTTTTTGTTGTTGCAATTCACTACTATTCGAAACCTCTCTATTAATTTTATCTATAATAATTCTAGTGAAGATTTTCCTACAATATTAATCTCTACAATATTAAGAACCTAGCTAGATTCATAGAACTGTCAGATTAGTTTGACTTCACCTAATGGGTGAGTCGTTGCCTTTTTCGGTATTGGTCGTACACTGATCACCTTGTCTATGTATGAACCAACGCTATTCCTGTGGTGCCATAACTGGCGATTATTTGAGCTCACGTGAGCTTTCTTGGTGCACACGACCACCACTCCAACCAAACCTTACCTAAACTGCAATTTGATTAAAGTTTCAATATCTCTTGTGTATCAATAAAAAAAAAATAAAGTTACTATTCCTTAAGGAAGACTAATAATAACTAATTAAAGTCAATAATAAATCTTAAATGATCGTTTTGTTGAAGTTTCAATTAATCTTTTGTTTCGATTATAGCCAGATAAAATTACTGTATTAATTTCTTTAGAAAAGCACACATTATCTATATCGGATAGAAAATAAAAATATACCTTTTTTTTCTTCTTGAAAGAACACTATAAGTTAAACTTAAATTGTGATTCACACTATTGATAAATCTAATGTGTTCTAATTAAAATTTATATTTTTTTTTCGAAAATAGCTAGATTAAATTGCTGGATTGGGTTTCTCACTTCTTCTAGATAAACTCCTTTAATTTATTCTGTATAGAGATTAACGACACTTTTTTTTCTTTTCTTAGTAAAAATCTGCCCAACTTCTCCTAGATTCTATTAAATAAAGCTTTCAGTTTTCTTTTCGTTCGATGAAAGCTAGATAAAGTTACTTAATATAACCGGAGTAGAAATTAAGGTTTTTGATAAATCTTTTATCATTTAATAAGTGTTAGATGAACGTATCGAGAGATTGTAGCAAGATTATTGGTCGATGTTTGAGTATGTTTACTGCCATCTTTCAGAGGTGATTCGTACGTGCATGTTTAATAAGGAAACTGTTTTCAATACGCGTGTAATAACTTTCTTTCTTTTCCTTTTGTTTTATTCTGGAGTTGGTTATGAAAAAACCTTTACTCCCTTATGTGGGCGAGATTATGGTAATTTCGCTATCTATGGTGTTCGGCTAGTTTTTGATGGCACGATTGCTGATTTAAACTTTTAATCCATTTTCTTTTTTTTTTGTTTCTTTCCGCTAGTTTTTGGATTACATGATTGCTGATTTAAACTTATGATCCAATCGCCCGGCTGCAATCGTCCTATTTTCTATAATCCTCTTCGTGTAATAACATGAGATCGATTCAGAGAAAAAAAAATTTTTTTTTTTTGAAAAATGTTTAAAAAGTAGTTTTATATAAAGATCTATTTAAAATGTTACCATCTTCAAACATCTATTACTATACCTATTTTAACTTACACAACAGTATATTTAAAAAAAATATACACATATTTTATCGTAAAATTTCCAACTTTAGTTATATATACATATTATAAAATATTAAAAATGCCAACATTCTACTTCAAATTTTAAGTACAATGAGCAATAGTGACCAATTATATGACCAGTAAATAAATACCTATTTACCACAATTTTTTAATACTAAAACATCTGGTATAGCAATTGTCATTGCTATTAGTAATATCCCAAATATATTTATATGTAAACAAAAATGACGTCATTACTATACGATTATCACGAACCGATCGTCTTAAGTCAAATAAATCTGAAACCAACTTAACATGCTGAGAAGCTCAAAATCTTAATCATCGCGCTCAAATAGCGACTCTCGCCATACTGTGAAAATCAACAGTGCGACTCTGTTGACACTTCTCAGATATTCTTAGGCAACGAACGCTATGTGGCGTTGAATTTTTAGACGTTGCGTCGCTCCCAAACGTTGTGATTAATCAAACGCGAATTTCTTGCGCAATGGATTTGCTTGATCAGCTTGAGTCGGTTTTTATGTAGCGCCAGACGCAGTTCGAATTTTGAACGCAGACGGTGAAGTGTGCCAATTCGATATTGTTTCACAATATTTTGTTTATATTAAAAACATATTTTTATTAAATATTTGTTGAAAAGTGTAAAGAAATTTGAATATATAAAAAAAGAAAACATACTATTTAGTGATTAAAACTTAGTGTAATATTAAGTTCACAATTTTCTGTTCGAGGTAAATAGAATATTCCATATGCCCCACCCCAAAATATCGGCTAATAAAGACCAACTTATTTAATTTCTAATAACTTAAATTAAAAAATTTAATAAAAAGTGCAATCATATTGATTAAGTTTAATATCTTATATTAATGTTTAAATTTGGTTTTTTAAAACGGCTGTAGATTCTTTAATCTATAAAAATTAAACATTAAAAAATTAAAAATCTTATCAAAAGTTTTGCTCTTATTTTAATTTTAATATCCGATGTTTCGCGGCTTTTTTGCCACCTAATTAGGTGTATATTGTATAGTAGTATATTGCTGTACATTAATTCATAAACAATTAAAATTAAAATTTTGGGACTAAATACTTTAATTTATCAAAAAAAAATTGATTTTTCACCACATACTTAACAATGTTTCTAAATAATATAAAAAAAAAAAAAAACAAAAAAATTATTACTAAGTGGTACCGGTATTGTGTAAGCGGCATAATGTATATATCAACAAACCAAAATCAACTTTCAACTTAGAATTATATTTATTAGTGTGCTTAGTTTGGGGTTACAAAAGCTGCCGAGTCTATGTGGCAACTTCTCGTTAACATCGATAAACGAGCGGCAGAAACTGTTGCCATAAGAGTTTATAGAGCAATCACAGCAGGAGTGTCACAAGAAGTGTGTCCCCTTGAAATAGCATCCTACTTAAAAGAGAACACATTCAAGTGTTAAAAACACAACGAATTTGAAATATATTAAAAATTTTTTATTTAGTACCAGATATTTTAGTTATCTACATTAAAAACTTCCTCAGTTAATATCACTTTAAGTGTGGAACTGAATTCGTCACGTAGAAACAAGCAGAGATGACAATTTGAAGAAGTTTTCATGCAATGTAAGCAAATGGTACATTTTTATCAACAAATAATGTTTGTGATTTGGACAGGATGTTATTGTGGATAATGATAGATTGAAAGTATCTAAGCTGTAATAAATATTGGTACTTTATATAAATTATTCTATCCAAGAACTATCTCCAATAATTATATACTTAATATGAAACTGGTGAGAATTGAAATTATGATAAAAAATGTGCTTTGAAAGACACTCTCAAGAATCTTAAAGATCTATCCACTCTTTGGATATGATATATTCACATTGAACACCGACAGTTTGACTCGTGAAGAAATTCAGCGTACAGTATTTTACTTATGAAAAAATTTTGTTCATATTTTGAGATTTTACAAAGAAATGGGATAGAAGTAAAATATTTTGTACCTATATGTCTATTAATATATATGTCATTCTATATTACATAAACTAAATGTAATTGTAATTACATTAAGTTTGACTTTTTGGTTAAAAAAAAGGAACTGTACTTCAACTCTTTTCAATGCCATTCAAAACACAAGATGTCAAACGGAACTACGTAACGATTAAATCTTTTGTTATCCAATCTCAAATATCTGCACAGAAGAGACTCTTTATTTAAGTTAATTATAAAAATCGCTTCTCCCCTCAAATAATATTTTTCCATTTTTTTAACTAAACAATCATTTTCTAAACTTACTATAACATACTATATTCTAAAATGTATATAGACATGTTTAACATACTTGTTCGATAATATAAAAAATTTTATATTTGGTATTATATATAATTTAATTATTTTAAAATAATTAATTATAAATTTCTTGAGATTGAATAAACCATAAAGCAGATATGAGCAAAAATTTATCGTGACCTTACTCTTCTTGATATGGATAAGGTTGTTTTTTTAGACTCTGTTGCGTCTTTCATTATTTACATAAAATTGCACTTCAAAACTCCTGATTTTTTTTAAATAAAATTTTTTAAACTATTTATTGCTGATTTAAAATAGAATTTTTTATAAAATAAAATTATTTCTATATAACCAGCTATAGGTAAATTAAAACCAACCATAATTTGCACAACAGGATGAACAATTTTAACCTTCTATGAAAATTACTTGTTAAAACAAAAGATTTTTGCAAATACTTTTATAGTGAAGAGCTTTTCTATATACAATACAAGAATTTATTATTAGGTGAATTTTATATATAAAATATTAAATATAATAACTTATATATAGTATGATAGATATAGTATAATATATATAATATAATATATATAATATAATATATATAATTGGATTCCAAGTGTCAGGAATTTAAATTGTTAATGTTCGATTTTTTTTTTACTCCTTCCTTTTATATAATAGAACAACGACACAAACCCCATATATATAAATTTTATAACTATTAAAAAATGTTGTTATTAAATATTAATTTATTCGTTATCTCAAGAATTCACATAATTGAAAATAAACTTTTATATTTAATAAAATTTATAAACCTTTATAAAAAATATTTGAAATTACTTATATTATATTACCTTACTAAGCCTAAAATATAATATTATTAGTCCGTATTTCAAGACAAAATTCTAGATTAAAGTATAGAATAATTACAGAGTTAGAGTTTACGAAATTAAACTAAATTTCATATTCTTCATAAAATTAGATTAAATTTCTTTCTACATTTTTTTTTTCGATTTTATATATAACTTTTTCTTATATTTATTTTCTTTATATATTTTTAATTTTATTATGAAGTTAAGATAACGATGATTCAACTTTTTAAAAAATTCATTGATGTTTTGCTTAGCATTTGTTTATTTTGGCTTAGTACTACTTATTGTGCTGTGTTTTGCAGTTTCTTAAAATATCATTTCAACGCACAACGTGAGCAAAATAATTAATTCTGAGATATTCAATAACATGATTAACACTTTTGTATCATATAAGATACAAATAAAAAATAAACAAAATTAAAATTAATCATCGTTATTCTCAATAATTTTAAAGCCGTTCCTTATTTAAGACATAAAGGCAACGAATTGAAATTTAAAAAAAATATATTCAATTAAATGCATTTAGACCTTTATCAAATCGGATTTATTCCATGAAATAACTTCCTGTTATAAATAACAATTTTATATTTGTTCCTCTATATATTAAACTATTTATTTGTTTTATTAGTAATGGATATTTTAAGTTATATTAACTAATTATTTAATAATATTATGTACAAACAAATAAGCAGAGTATTTGGAAGCACACAAATAACAAAAAAATATATAAATATCTTTTCGAGATAATTCTTTTATATGTATAGTAAATAGTTATATTATATAGTATATCAAATCATTAATATAATCATGTTACGCAGAGAACTTATATATACAATCTCTTCATTGATGACATTAGTGCTGTACTTGAGGAGAAATAAATCGAATTTGACCCTTTCTATCAAACCCATATACCCATAAATCTATTTTTGTACGTGTCCACATTTTAGTTAGAAATGGTTTTATTAAAATATTACTAACAAAAATAAAAGTGTTTTCTTCAACATCATAAATACTCCTTTAGTGCAGCCAATCCATCAGAGTTACGATCTTACTACTCATATTCTTTCTCTGATTGATGATAAAGCCAGCAAATCCATTTGATACTAATTAGCACCTCAAAGTCATAATTCAATTAGATGCGTGCCTTTTCATCATTCTTTTTTAAAATGTATAATTTGATGCATTATAAAACGATCTATTTAGTAAGAGTGATCTATGGAGTATGAGTTTTGTCATTCGAAAGAGACCTCGAACCAAATTCTAATTGCATCAATTGCATAATTACAAGATGCAATCTTGTTCGAATTTCTTCGATATGCAATACATTTAGGGTTCTATTAAATATCACTTTGCAAACTACTGCTGTTTGGAAATACATTTGAATTTTTTTACCATTTTCTATATTTAATTAATTTAAAATCTTGTTAAGATATTTCATACAGATATTATTCATATAGTGAGATGAATTATTGTCGGTTAGGTTACATGTATACAGATTAAATCTTTTTGTATATAATATTTTGAGATAAATTAATATTATTTATCACTTTGCATACTGTCCAACAGTTATATATACAACAAACAATACACACAACTAAAACTAAGTACTTACAACTGGTTCGAAATGTTTCAGAGTCCATGTATTACATAAAGTATCTCCCACTATGTGGATTACTTCAACAAGCACATCAGCTATACATACAATTTAGAACAATCCCAATAGTTAATAACTCAAAGGCTATTACTCTCTTTGTTAGTATTGTAAATATACAATAACAACAGTAAAAGAATTAAATATGAATAGAGAAATAATATTTTTGCAAGTATCCGATTAAATCATAGCATTAGCTATAAAACAGGGTCCGTATATTAGGAAACCTGGTATCGAAAACTCATTATATCACAATAATTATAATCATTATATCACAACAATACAATATTTTTTGTATTAATAAATAATCAAATAATAATACAAATGTAATAGTAGATAATAAAATAAGAATAATAATAATAAGAATAAAAATAATATAATGAACTATTTGGGAGTTATTGATCTCAGTCAATAACTATTAGTATATCACTTAAGTTTCTCGGTTATTTCTTTTTTTATTAATTATTTAATTTTAAAATTATTTATATATACATAAATAACGCATATGTATAATAATTTTAATGAATTGTTATATACACATATGTTGTTTATAAATAAATTATGAACATTGAACTTCAGTTGAAATTGAGGCCCAATGCTTCAGTTAGGAGGACAGAAATACAAACATACATACATTGAAATTTTTTTATTATAAAACTTTAAAAATAAAATAATGTTTATATATTTTATTGTTTTGATTACTGAAAATTTTTTTTTGTATATTGCTTAAAAAATTTAAGCTCACTTAAATAAGTCCTTGACATTGATCTGAAATATAAAGTGACATACTCTCTACGCATGTGCAACGCTCATCCGAATACCCACTTACGAATTGAGTTTCGAAGATAAAACTTGACTTGACAAATCCGAGAAGAGACACCAATGCCTTAAATCGCTAAAAGTGTAGAACAGGTTCTCTAACAATACAACACAATATTCGCATACATGCTTCTCTAAGGTGCTGTTAAATATTTTAAAATTTATTAATTAATTAAAAACGCAAAAATAATTAAATTATAAAAAATATATACAAAAGAGACATACATACACTTTAATGCTTACATATTTATATACAAGATTTATTACATATGTGCATCCAAGTGTGTTTCGATAGAGATAATGCGTAGGCTTCTGTTATTTTAAACACTTGAAAAAAAAATTATAAATATATATAAATGTCGATTTCAATACAGATATTTACTTAAAGATACAAATGTGTTGTTTTTTATGCTGTAGGATGAAATAGTAAAATTAAAGTAAAATCAATTTACAAATATTGAAGAACAAATGTGGAACTATATGTACTCTTATTGTAGATATGTGGGTGGACATGCTCTCATTTATGTATGAATTTTTGACAGTATGTGATCCAAGAAAATAATAACTTTAAAATATTTATTCAGTATTTAAACCAACTTCATTACTTTTAAACGCACTTTTTCTAAATAACTTCAAAAATTAAAAATTGTTATATGTACATATGTATATAGAAATATATATATATATGTATACATAAAAAATGAGATTAAGACGTAGGGAAAGTAGCCAAAACGTGTGTATATATATTGCATTTTAAATAGATTTATTGTTTCTTTATAAAATTATAAAATGTTTTTTATTACAATATTTACAGATGGCAATACCACCGCCGCCAGGACCACCACCACCACCTGGTCCACCGCCACCACCAGCGATGGGCGGTTTAAAGTTAGGCGGAGCTGCAGGTGGAGACTCACGATCAGCTTTATTACAATCAATACAAAAAGGCACGAAACTAAAAAAGACTACAACCGTTGACAAAAGTGGTCCAGCTTTAGCAGGAAAGGTAAAATATTTATTTTTAAATAAAAACAATGTTAGAATATAGAATATAGATATAGAATTATATAAAATAGATATGGCAGACTACAACCTTTACAATTATTATTGAATAATAATTTAAACTGAGTTACATATTGTTTTTCCACAAAAACACAAAAATTATTAATTATTATTCATACACTCTAACAAATTCAGCTGTATCAGTAGCTTATATTGTAGGACGATTCTTGGAAAACGGTCTATGATAAATGGAAAATTCCTACATTAAAAATGTTCATAAGATAATATGATATTATATTCGAATAACAAAAGATTGACATAAAATTTCCGAAGAAGTGACCGCACTTCGGATTTAAGATATTTGAATGAATCATTTTTGAAGTATTGAGTATTTTTCGAAAAAGATGCTTTATTCAAGGTAATTTTTTTTTGACATCCTATATTTCAGTTATTTTTGAAAATCAACTATTAGATAATTGCATTCTTTGGAGCAAGGAATCATTTCCAGAATTTATATCAATTTATTAGGGTTTGATCTTTATATTGTATTATAAATAAAGATTAAACAAAAATCTAAACTTTTTAAATCCTATCACCAAGGTATAAAGAAGAGTATAACATTTTAAAAGAATTGCTACTGTGTTGAAAGAGTAAGAAAATTGAGAATGTTAAAAATAGATTGGATGGCGCCTTAAAAGAAAAAGTTGCATGTCGTTAGAATTTCTTCGCTTAAGATGGTTATGAACAAATGTAGCGTAGCAAATTCTTAGGAGAGTGGCTAGTAGCAATTGTATATATTTTGAAATAAAGAGGTCCAACACACTATTAAAGTATACTTGCTACAGTAGTTGACAAGTCTCAATATACTTCAATTGTATGGAATACGGTAGATAGCGACTATAGCTTAATCGTACGCAGTGCTTAAGTAAGATAGAATGTCGTATTCATGTATTTATTACTTTCATTTGATATGGAATTGCTTTTTCAAACGGGTGCTGTACCCCAAAAAACAGCAGAGTTGTACATAAGTCCCGCTCCCTTTTAAGGAGGAAACTGTATA